TTGCACTATAGTTAAATAGATAACTCCGACGTAATTCTGAAAATCATTTAGTCATCCATGGATAAGGCAGTCGCTCCTATAATCATATAATATTGAATCTTCTAACGTGGAACGTGTATTTTCTAATCATGTTTGTATATATACACCTCCCGAACAACCAATTTCATTAAATTGTATTAAACTGTCTGTATCTATATAAAACAAATCTTTAAATACCCTATTACATTTCTAATAGCTACATTTTCTCTAAATAAAAAAGTCACTACAGGTGTCCCGTCAGCGCAGAACAGCAAACACAGTGTCCTCAGAGACTATACTTCCTAATGCTTTCTATGTATATGTTCAATTAAATATATTACATGACCAAATTAAACTAGCAGACGCAGCTCTGCAAAACAAAGTATCATACAAATATTTGACATTCATACTCAAAATTTCAGATCATTTTATTCGCTATCAGTCTTGACCTCCTGGCATAAAGTTTCGGTTGCTAGTGCTAGACTCGCCTTGGAATATTTATACTTTTGATTGCGTTGTTCCACAGAAAAACATTAGTGAATTATTTGATCTATGGTTGCCCTTGAACTGCAGAGAATTAAATGAAAATCTAAACTGTACGTATCAAGAACTAATCACAAGAAACAACTGAATAAGCTTCGCGTATCCAAACTGAGAGCATATAATACCACTTGATGACCACAAGGAAAAAGGATGTTTGTGAACAGCGACATATCCTCGATATTATGCTCATCAGTCTTACAAGGATGATGTTTGTTTGATTACATATATATATATATATATATATATATATATATATATAAAGAGAATATGATCATGCGGAGAAAAGTATATAACAACAAGTAGGAAAATAGTGGGCAAAATCCGCAAAAAGGAGGAAAGTGGACGCCAGTACGCCAGTAGCCTGCTGGATCTCTTTCTGACCACGCATCCTGCCCCTTACAGCACTGCCGTCCTGTCCCCCCTGGGTAACTCAGATCACGGTGTTGTGGAGGTTAGGTTTCGGTCAGAAGCCGCTGTGGCCGCAGAAACTCGCACAGGCCGCAAAACTTGGCATTACGGACATGCCGACTGGGAGGGGCTCAGAGACTTCTTCTCTAGTTTTCCTTGGAGAGATGTCTGTTTCACTGACGCGGATGCGTCGACTGTCTGTTCTTCAATAACCGAAATTATCCACGTCGGAATGGAGGAATATACGTACATCCCTCACACAGTGAAAGTTCCTAAACCAGGGTCCAACGGCTGGTTCAACAAATCGTGTGACACTGCTCGCCAGCAGAAGATCAAGGCCCACAGAACCTACTTACAGAACCCCACTGTAGAGAACAGACAAGCCGACGTCGAGTCCAGAAACAAATATAACGAAGCGGTTCGCAATGCCAAAACCCAGCATGATATAAAAGTTAGGCACAGGGTAATGTCACAGCGCAATGGCAGTCGGTCTTTCTGGACGCTGGCCAAGCAGATTGAAAAGAACTTCTCACACAGTAGCCTTCCACCACTTACGTGTCAGGATGGAACTATTGTATTCGACTCAAAGGCCAAGGCGGAAGTGCTAGCCAAGATCCTTGCTGCCAACTCCACCATGGACGTCCCCACCAACGCCCAAGTGCCGTCAATTCAAAGGGTTCGCCACACTATGCGGGAGGTAACATTCAGGCATAAGACCGTAAGACGAGTGCTCTTGTCGCTCTACATCAACAAAGCTTCTGGTCCGGACTTGATTCCTGCCATTGTACTGAAGAGGTGCGCAGCTGAGCTTGCTCCAGTTCTTTCGCGTCTCTTCCAGATATCTTATGAATCCGGCACCTTCCCAGAAAACTGGAAATTTGCTCATGTACAGCCCATCCCAAAAAAAGGATCTAAAACCGACCCTTATAACTACAGGCCTATAGCTCTGCTTTCTGTTATAAGTAAAGTGATGGAGAGGTGCATAAATCGCGAGCTTCTGGACTACCTCGAACGTCACAGCTTGATTAGCGACAGGCAGTACGGTTTCCGGCACCAACGATCCACAGGGGACCTCCTAGCTTACGTCACGCAACTGTGGAGTAAACTCATCCAGTCTCATGGTGAGGCTCATGTCGTTGCTCTTGACATCACGAAAGCGTTCGATCAGCTGTGGCACGCTGCCCTCTTGAGCAAACTTCCATCCTACGGCCTCCCAGAAAAGCTTTGCAGATGGGTGGCTGACTTTATCTCTGGCCGCAAGATATCCGTCGTAATTGACGGATTCTCCTCTTCATCCCACAACGTCAACGCGGGTGTTCCCCAGGGATCGGTCTTGGCTCCAACACTGTTTCTCTTACATATCAACGACCTCCTTTCCTGCACGATCAACCCAATCCACAGCTTCGCTGATGACAGCACTCAACATGCAGGAATTCAGAGTGACAAGCCGATCTCTGCCGCTGAGCTGGAAAAAAGAAGACTAGCGACGACTTCTTCTCTGACAAGAGACCTGGAGGCTATCACTGCTTGGGGACGCAACAATCTTGTACAGTTCAATGCTTCCAAAACACAGTACTGTACTTTGACGAACAAAAAGCGTCCTAGCGCTCATACAGTTTCGATGGACGGTCGAGTCCTACCAAAGAGCCATTCATTTTGGCTGGTCGGAGTCCAGATCACCGAGGACCTGATCTGGCACGAACACATCTCTTCAATAGCTGCAGCTGCTGGGAAAAAGCTAGGCTATTTGTTTAGGGCTAAGAAGTACTTTTCTCCGCATGACCTACTCACTCTATACAAGGCCCAGATAAGGCCTAGCCTCGAGTATTGCTCACACGTTTGGGGTGCTGCCGCCCCGACTACATTGTCCATGCTCGATGCTGTCCAGAGGAGGGCGGTCCGACTGATCGATGACTCTTCTCTAACAGACAGTCTCGGGACTCTTTCGCACCGGCGGGCCGTCGGCGATCTAGCTCTTTTCTATCGCTACACCAACGGGCTTTGCTCCTCAGAGCTCTCTTCCATGATGCCGCCGCGCGATGTGCCTGCCAGACAGACCCGCCTGACTTCGGCGTCCCATCCTAACCGTGTCAAACTTCGTACATCCAGAACTGGCCGATACGACCGCTCCTTTGTCCCGAGGGTGTCTAGATTGTGGAACAATCTACGGGAGGAAGCTTTTCCCAGTTCTACTAACCTTAGGCAGTTCAAAAATCGTATTAACAAAATTTCTTTGGGATCATCATAGCAGCCGCGGTGTTCCGGCATTTAGGCTTCTGCCTGCGCGGCTGTTTCAATATAAAAAAAAAAAGAATATGATCATGCGGAGAAAAGTATATAACAACAAGTAGGAAAATAGTGGGCAAAATCCGCAAAAAGGAGGAAAGTGGATTCGAGCAGAAAATAGGATAGGTAACCCGAGCGATACGTATATAATGAATGCACATATGAAACTACAAAAGTAGATACACATGCCCACACATCCGGATACGGGTGTAACCTGAGAAAACGAAGTTGGTGGGGAAAAAAAAGACACACGAAGTCCACAACAAAAGCCAACCTACACATTGTAGTATAAAATGGCTATACGACCTCGAATTTTCAAGGAGACGTCTAACCACCACCACGCGGCCGGTTATAGCCACTTGCTGTGGTACTTCAAGCCCAAAGGATCTACAAAGAGAATATGATCATGCGGAGAAAAGTATATAACAACAAGTAGGAAAATAATGGGCAAAATCCGCAAAAAGGAGGAAAGGGGATTCGAGCAGAAAATAGGATAGGTAACCCGAGCGATACCTATTTCTGCTGGTTGGCTTCATCAGGCCCGAACTGAATGCACATATGAAACTACAAAAGTAGATACACATGCCCACATATCCGGATACGGGTGTAACCTGAGGAAACGAAGTTGGAGGGGAAAAAAACGACACACGAAGTCTGCAACAAGAGCCAACCTACACATTGTAGTATAAAATGGCTATACGACCTCGAATTTTCAAGGAGACGTCTAACCACCTGTTGTTATATACTTTTCTCCGCATGATCATATTCTCTTTGTAAATCCTTTGGGCTAGAAGTACCACAGCAAGTGGCTATAACCGACCGCGTGGTGGTGGTTAGACGTCTCCTTGAAAATTCGAGGTCGTATAGCCATTTTATACTACAATGTGTAGGTTGGCTCTTGTTGTGGACTTCGTGTGTCGTTTTTTCCCCTCCAACTTCGTTTCCTCAGGTTACACCCGTATCCGGATGTGTGGGCATGTGTATCTACTTTTGTAGTTTCATATGTGCATTCATTTCGGGCCTGATGAAGCCAACCAGCAGAAATACGTATCGCTCGGGCTACCTATCCTATTTTCTGCTCGAATCCACTTTCCTCCTTTTTGCGGATTTTACCTATTATTTTCCTACCTGTTGTTATATACTTTTCTCCGCATGATCATATTCTCTTTGTAGATGCTTTGGGCTTGAAGTACCACAGCAAGTGGCTATAACCGACCGCGTGGTGGTGGTTAGACGTCTCCTTGAAAATTCGAGGTCGTATAGCCATTTTATACTACAATGTGTAGGTTGGCTCTTGTTGTGGTCTTCGTGTGTCGTTTTTTTCCCCTCCAACTTCGTTTCCTCAGGTTACACCCGTATCCGGATGTGTGGGCATGTGTATCTACTTTTGTAGTTTCATATGTGCATTCATTTCGGGCCTGATGAAGCCAACCAGCAGAAATACGTATCGCTCGGGTTACCTATCCTATTTTCTGCTCGAATCCACTTTCCTCCTTTTTGCGGATTTTACCCATTATTTTCCCACCTATATATATATATATACATATGACGAATGGCAACTTTAATAAACACTGATGAACATGAGAAAGGTGCTTTTCGCGGTATAACGCTTTATGGCACCTTTATATTCAGTGACTCCTTCCAGATACATTCAGTCAATCAAGTAAAGCATTAAGTGCAGTAGGTTTCATCTCAACCGTCTCTGAAGTTCACATTCTTTATGCCAGAAATAAGATCCCGTACACAAAGTTAAACCTGATGATATAGCCTATCGCACAATCACCCACATCACCAGCACTATTTTTGCTATCGTCCGCATGGCCACCGCTGATGTAGCTGCCGACGCAGAGAGTGCGCTGGCAGCAGTCTGCAGACACTGGTGGAACTCGTCGTAGTCCACTCTTGTGATGGCGCAGTAATGGGTGTGGGCACAATGCGAATCGCATTGTGCCAAAGCAGCTGTGCCGCTGTTGAAACGCACTGAGTTGGCACGGTAGTACCTGCAGGAAAGCATAACATTGAACAGTTGTTGATTTGAATTCAAGATGAAAATTTATTGATTCTATTAACACGTCATTTGTCCATACTTCCTACTTATCTATCGTTTGTGGAGCTGCAGTCAGTTTTTTATCTCTGTCTGTCAGTCTGTTGGTTTGCGATGTCAATCTCTCGAAATTTATCTCCGTCAATCCGCCTGCTTCTTTTCCCTTAGTTCTGTTGACAGTTGATGACTTCGGCAAAACTAATTGGATGAAATTTGGGAACGAGATGCTATACGGTTGCAATAGGTAGACAGGATTTCCCAAACCAATATTGCAAGTAAGGGAAATATGCCAGTTCATATAGCTAAGAGTCAACGCATACCTTTTTTTAGATATACAGGATGTTCCAAAAATAGACGGAGATACCTTGGAGAGTGATTTCTTGTTGAGAAGTATGAAACAAGTTGTAATAAACACGAAAACTTATTGATTCTATCAACACGTCATTTGTCCATACTTCCTGTTTATCTATCGCTTGTGCAGCTGCAGTCAGTTTTTTTTATCTCTGTTTGTCAATCTGTTGGTTTGCGATGTCAATCTCTCTAAATTTGTCTCCGTCCATCCGCCTGCTTCCTTTTCCTTAGTTCTGTTGACAGTTGATGACCTCGGCAAAACTCATTGGATGCATTTTGGGAACGAGATACTACACGGTTGCAATAGGTAGACAGGATTTCCCAAAACAATGTTGCAAGTAAGGGAAATATGCCAGTTCATATAGCTAAGAGTCAACGCATACCTTTTTTTAGATATACAGGATGTTCCAAAAATAGACGGAGATACTTTGGAGAGTGATTTCTTGTTGAAAAGTATGAAACAAGTTTTAATAAACACGGGTCCGTAAATATAGAATTTTCAAGATACAGGGTAATAATTTAAACAAATATTAATGATCTTATAAAATATTTACTCGACTCTGTTAAAATTTGGCAACATCATTTGTTGTACCTAGGGGCTAATTTAGCCCTGAATAGATTGAAATTATCAGGACCAGCGGCGTCCCGGAGGCATGCTAGCGAATATTACTGATAGAAAAGCTGTACTGAGAAAGTCACAGGTGCCTTGGAAAACAGAAAATAATTTCTTCATGGTGGTTTGACATTAGCGCGACGGTTCTTCTAGGAAAGAATTATTCACGTAATTGGACTTAAAAGTCTTTGTCTCGGTTTTTGTGATGGAAAATTGCACTCCTGAGGCAATGACTGAGAAGCACGTGCTTATAGTAACTTTTATGCAGCGAGGCGCCTGTATGCAGAAACGTTTCCATACCGGGATATATTGCAAGTAGGAGAAATATGCAGGTTCCTAAACCTAAGAGTTAACTCATAACTCTTTTGATGGAAGTTACAATAGTTATGACATAATCCGTTCTAGGTGATTTTACTTATTTATTTGTCGCTACTCAACCAATTCAAGGGCCGACACCTTAGAATATAGTTTGGTCAGTTTATTTATTTTTCAGTCGACCAATTCTCTCGAAAAATAACGTGCAACACATTAAGAATATTCTTAACACAGTTTAACTAAACAGAAATAACGACAACTTTAAGCTTCTATACCAACCTGCTAAATATAGAATTCTCCTGCGGTGTATCATGTGTCAATTTGTCAGCCAGCGTATGCAAATTGACCGCATTAATGTCGTTGATGGAATAGTAAGTGCTGAAATTGTATTCGACCGACCATTCTACGTTCCTGTTGGGGTTGGCGATGGCACCGGACAGGTCCAGGTAATACTGGGTGTAATCGAACACCTGGAATAGATACAAATAGTGAAACAATGGAACTGTACACTAACGATGAAGCAAATTGGTCATTGGATCAAATAGTAGGGTGGCTGAAAGGTATAGGCTAAGTCGTTGCTCTGCTTTAGCTTATGAAACTATGTGAATAAACAGACACATACATTTACTGCTTTTACTCGCAGCAGCAAACCGAGAAATATATTTTTACCAATAGAAATCCAATTTGTCAAACATGTCAAAAATGAACAGCAGAGAGAATAACCACAACTCTAATTCAAGAAGCCTGAACGGCTCATAAAGCAGCCGTTGGTTTTTAAACAGGTCTAAATAAATTTGAGAGGAGGCTCAAGTACCAAGTATTGTTTGCCTCACAATTTATGGGCTGAGAATTTTTATTTTCTTCTATGGACAAAAAGTGACCAAAACTGTTATTCCAAGTTCATTAGTTTATTCATCCCTTAGTTACCTTGTGTATGTCATTGTGACGAAGTTTCATCAGAATCTATTTCTTTTAGATTTATATGTGTATGCTCTTATAAGCAATTTGAAAAGGGATGCAATAAACTTTATATTACTCTGCTGATTGACGTTGGGGTTTGATCTAAAAAAAGCTGCACAATCTGTCATAACAGATTTTTTGTTAAAAGCTAAGAATCAGAACAACAAACATCCCTGACCACCATTTTTATGCATTTCAGTGCATACAAAACTTCGCACTTTCATTTCGCGTATAGTCACTAGTCCTAAAATTTTGAAAAAAAGAAAGAGATATTTGGCCGTTTGAAGTAATTTATTCATATATTTATCCCCAGTACTTGTTTTTCTGACTCGGCAGTAGCAGTACATGAAGATGCTGCTGAGGGTGGCGAGTGCTTACAAGACGGTCTCCACGAAGGCCTTACAGATTATTACAGGGATAGCACCGATCCACTTGCTTGTGGAAGAAAGAGTGAGACTGCACCGCCGGGAAGGTGGGAGAACCGCGAGGGCCAGAAGGGAGGAGCGCGAGGTCACCATCAGTAAATGGCAGGACGAGTGGCACTTAACGGAGGACGTGGCTCAGTGGACAAAAAAAATAATACCTGACATCGGGAAGTGGATTGCTTGCAAGCACAGGCGACTAGACTACCACCTAACGCAGGCACTAACGCAGCATGGTACTTTTCGAGTATTCACGAAGAGAATACAGAAATCAGACAGCGATGAATGCATGTACTGTCAAGAAAAAGACACAGTTGCACACACTCTCTTCGAGTGCAACAGATGGGAGCGACAAAGGGCACAAGTCGTTGTTAGTCTAGGACACGCTCTGACGGAGAGTAATCTGACCAGCACCATGATGGCGAACAAACAATCGTGGATACAAATACAAAGATTCATTAGGGAAATACTATCAATTAAAGACAAGGATGAAAGAAGAACGGACAGCCCAAACTCCTAGGACATATACATGGAAATTTTACTGCAAAAACCGCTGAGGAAACGAAGACATGTGTGAGACACAGTCATGCTGGTAGTAAGCGCAGGCGAATCCCAGCATGAGGGTGGGGGAGGGGGTTTTAGCCCAGGTGGCATAACCTGAATGCGGATACTAGATATCCGGTCTCAGGTATCTCTTGGTGATTTCCCCCCAAGAAAAAAAAAAAAAGTAGCAGTACATGCAAACAATCTAGTTCATCAATTGGAAATACAATTATTTGTGGGTAAGTGAGAAACCAGCCGTTGAGTGAAAAACAGCTAAAATAATAATGTTACAGTGAGTGTTCTAATCTTGTAAACCTAGTTACCTGTTTGTGTTCAGATAATGACATCGACGTAAAACGTGATAAATTATGAAAAGGGATCTAAAATTACATTCAATATTGATCTGAAAGTCAATCCCACCGCGTAGGTGGGATAGCAAAGCTAACAGAAAAACAAAATAAAGAGACAAAACCGCCCCACATCCAATCATCATGATAGCTAACGGACGACGTGTCGGAATTTCAAAATCGAAAATTCCGGTTGATTTTCTGGATATACGTGAATTTGCATACCAACATGTACTCTTTTTATTATTTGATTTCTTGTGACGGTTCGCATATAAACATCGTTCCTACACAGTCAGAGCTCTGAAGGAGTTCTTTTGATAATCAAATTTTCCCCCTAGGTGGCATGCGTGATGACCATGCAGTATAAGTGGCGAAGGCAATGTTAAGAGTTTTGGTTTGATGAATATCGGTATAGATAATATATACATATAATTATAATTACAAATGTTCCAGGTGAAATAAAAATAACGTGCAAATAAATATGAAATACCCACAGAAAGCAAAGCCTGTGCGCGTCCCATATGTCTGCTGTCAGCTCCTTCTAAGCTCGCCGAAAAGGTGATTTATCGTCACCTTGAGAATTTTTCGTCAAATCACCATGTGATTCCTGACGTGCAATTCGGTTTTCGGTCCGAGCATAGCACCGAGATACAGGCAGTCAGGTTGTTGGAGCATGTAACCAGAGGGTTCACCCTCAACATGAGTACTGGCATCTTGCTTTTGGATGTCTCAAAAGCCTTTGACAAGGTGTGGCACGAGGGCCTCCTCTATAAACTAATCCGAAAGGGTTTTCCTTTTTGGCTTCTAAAATTAGTGAAATCCTTTCTTGAAGGAAGGAAGTTTCGGATCAAAATTAACAATGTTTTGTCAACAACACGGGCAATACGGGCCGGAGTTCTTCAGGGTTCGGTCCTAGGGCCAATTCTTTATTCGCTTTTTATCCATGATGTCCCTTCCCCCAGCAACTGTGAAGTCTACCTCTATGCTGCCGACACTGCACTTGTCGCCCAGTCGTGTACTGGTGATCTGGTTCACGATGGGTTGCAGAATGCGGTGGACGAAGTTCTAGAGTGGGCGGAACGGTGGCTGATAAAAATTAATCATTCGAAACCGCAGGCTATTTATTGTACCAAAAAACGTCGCGGCCCCCCAGCAGAGGTTTCTGTAGACGGAAATCGTGTACCATGGACAAATTCTGCCAAGTACCTTGGTGTCACCCTTGATAAAGGCATGACCTGGCAGAAACATACAGCATCCATAAAAACAAAATTCCAAATTGCGTTTCGGCAACTATATCCTTTGTTATGTAGATCCTCCAAATTGAGTTTGATAAACAAAGTTCGACTATATAAAACGATTATTAGACCAGCCATTACTTATGCATGTGCGGCTTGGTGTTTTCTTGCCAAGACACACATGCAAAGTCTTCAAGTACTGCAAAGCAGAACTTTGCGGACAATTTGCAACGCTCCATGGTATGTCTCAAATGAGACACTACACAGAGACCTTGACATTCCTTACTTGAGGGATTATGTCAAGCTTCAGGCGCAGCGACGTTATAGTCAAGCGGAATCGCACAGCAACCCTCTGTTGCGTGACTCAGTGGACTACACAGTGGAGCAAGTTCGTAAACATTCAAGGCCACGGCTCGCACTGTAATCAAAAGTTATCGTGAATCTTTAGTAGACTCAAAATTACACTCAAACGAAACCGAATCAAAAAATTTGTTTAGCTCACCTCAAAATTAATCCGTGTGCCAAGTCAAAAAGCCTAGGTGTTTCCTCTTAAACTAAGCATATCTGTTTTTCTTTGTTCTTCTCCTTTTTTCTTCTCTTTCCCTTTCTCTTTTTCCTTGATTTTGTCTGGTTTCTGGGCAACCGGAACTGACAGATTCGACTAACGTACATCAGACAGTGACTAATGGGCAAAGGTCCTACGGACCGCCCAGACAAATAAATGACAAATAGTAGGACCATGAAATAATCGCATAAAACATATTTGGAATACTGCTCCAAACTTTCAGTAGGAAAAACAGGGTCATGTGACCTAAGATGCTTTTTCATAAATAATACTCAGTAGCTCAACAACTAATGATGAAAACACATCAGTATGATATAGCTTCTTCTCTTAGAATAGCCCATTTGAATTGTAATAATGATATGTCATTCCATTAAAAAAACTTACTATATGTGCACTAAGTACTATATTAATGGACCCCCAGTATACAGGGTACTCCACAGATCGATACCAACCTTCTAAGGCATGATGGTAGGCCCTATTTAAAATACTTTGAGCCATATGTACTTTAGTGCCAACGAATTAGTAGGAGCCAAGCCTATATGTTTACATTACTATGTTTCTCACCAAAACTGAGTAGTTTTTTTTAGCTTTAGTGCATACTTTTTCCACATTTGTCTACCAGTGACTACCAAAGTGACATCGCTGTATCACCATAATAATAATACCTATCGTGGGCTGGGTTAGTATCACAATTATCAAACACTGGCAGTATTAAAAAATAACGCCAAAACTACGAATCAAATGACAGAACTGTCAAAAAATTGTCTATCCAATATTGAGTCTACATCAGTATAATTGTCATCATAGATACAATAGACACAATCGGGTGTGCGACGAATCAGAGAATGACATATTAGGAAGGTAAAAAGTTCATTTGCTTTAGCTGCATGCTTTTACATGCTTAAACTTATCTATTAAGAACTTTTAAAGGAATTTCTTGACAGTTTGAAAAAAAAGCTTTTGTTTTTATATATATTTGAAAGAATTTGCTGGTGTATGTTGAGGGAATATGTTTCTGGAAACATAATGACTATATTTAAAGCAAGCTGAAACAACAATTTACTGTTTCTCTCTGTCTGTACTCACGTGTTTTTATTACCCTCTGTATCAAATTTTCTACCATTAGTGGAAATGGAGTATGGAACTGACTGCACTGATGAACTTTCAATTAATTGAATCAACTTCATCGCGAAAACCGGATTGACGGCCGTTAAAGTGAATAGCGGATTATATATGACAGAACAGGTAAAACGCAATTTGGCTACGATGGGCCAATTCCGTTTTTTGCGGAGGATTTTTATGATTTTTCCGTATTCAGGGAGTGCTAGCAATTAAAACTGGGTGCATCGTGATAGGGCTCAATTCGCGTTTCCAGATTTTGAAGAGAGAGAAATTACATTATGAGAAAATTCCAAGTCATAATTATATTTTTTATTGTAAGATCTACGTTTGGTAATAATACTCTTAAAACTGAAATAAATATGTATAACAGAAAATATTTGATAAGCGCTTTGTATGACTTCTTTACAGTATTCGTATATCAGATATACTAAGGGTGGATTTCACCAGGATTGTCAAATCAACAGTCCACCTCCACCTATAGTGTAACAGTCCGTCTAATACAGCGAATGAGCTTCAAGTTCCAATCAACAAATTTTTGCAACCAATAGCTGGAAATGTTGAAAACAAAATACTGTCAAAGTATGAGATAACAACTTGTCACTGAAACATCACATCAGCTTGTTGAATATTAAGAAATTTCATATAGTTTAGTCAAAATTTTAAATAGTGTTAGATTTTTGAATAAAACTCATGTTTGTATTTAATACTGTCAATTGCTTATTCATGTTTATATTATATATTTTCTTCAATTGATATGCTATTTTACTGATTCAACATCACCTACCGTGTGTTCCTTTTCGATAAACCTCTTGCAGATAGCCTATCTAGCACCCACTTGATGACAGGCTCTACCAAAAATTTCATAGATATTGGTCGTTTCCAAACATTCATTTATTTACTTGTTGTTCATCAGTACCTTTATAGCACCGTCGATTGATATTCCCACAAAACCATTCAGGATTTTTGATATCTATACATCCATAGTCAAATATTTTTTGGTTGTTGAGGAACTGAACAAACATCCACACTATATTTACAGCGATTAAGAAATACTCAAATCTATGTCGTAAAGCTACCGGCAAACTTAAAACCTGCAAAAAAATAGAATTTGCAATAAGTTTCTTGTTTCACTGAATACACATTCTGGGTTATATTTACATTAGACATTATTTGAATAACAGCTGATTATTACATTTCAAAACTCCCCAACGAGTGACACATGTGTGGGATCCGTCAACCCTTGGTCCCAGTGGAGTAAGCTCCGCCAACAGTTGAAATATACTCTACTATGCTTTATAAGACTATACGTGTAATTTTTCCCAAAATCGTTGCACAACACCTTGAAAAAATGCGAATTGAAATTTAAAATTATTTCCATAACGCCGCAAAATAGCTCGGTCGGTACCTCGGGTTATACATCTTGACAGTAGGGATGTTCGATACATCCTATATTTAGAAGTATCGACACATTTCACGAGTATCGTCTTCTTTCGATCCGGGCTGTGTCAGAAAGAGTGCCTAACTTCAGATTACTTTTTTCTTTGTTTCTTTCCGCTGGATATCGATAATTTTATTTCAATATTTTAGAGCATAGATACTTCCTAAAACGATAAGAATCGATACAAAATGATACTTTTCGTGGATCTAAACATCCCTAATCTTGACCGCTTGACGTTCTTGTCAACTGGCCTGCAGGGTGAGGTGTTGCCCTTACTAACTTACATTTAGCTAAAATCTTATGAAAAATAAAAGATTCAAATGAAATATTGACGAATATGAACGGATATGCATAGAATTTAGAATATAAATTCACATTGCAGATTTCAGATTGTCTATGCATGGACTTGAACCGGATTTTTCGGTATTTTTACCGAAAAGAGAATATTTATCGGTAATATCATTCTCCACAATTTTTCAAAATAATTTAAATATTTCTATACTTGCCGAATAAGAGCTGAAACCAGAAATAAAGCTAGAAGTTAGTTTTATGTAGTTTTCATAGTTTTATGCCCCATATCAATCATACATATGCATACACACTCAGGCAGTCGGGCACATGAGAGGCGTAGATTTGGGTTGCCTATGATTACAAACGCACATCCTCATCCCTTACTCCGCTTGCCCTGAATTGATTTTTGTGCATACAAAAGGTACAGACTGGTAGATTACCGTCATTACCTCATCAGCAATAAAGAAGCCGAAACCTGTCTGTTTTCAAAATAAATATTTAATTAAAATGAGAGGTGAGTTCACGGGTTCAAGGGTAAAAAACAGAAAAATATTAACAATCCTATAAGCAAGAATCGAAAAAGGAGTTTCCAGAATGGTTGCAAAGTACTTTGAAAGAGCGACCAGTATGCACATTGTAGAAGTTGTAATATCCCTCAAAAAATATGTTGTGTGCGCGCCGAATACAATAACAGACTTTTTTCATGACTCAAAGGTCCTTGATCTACCACTGATCTTGGGACCGCATTTACCTTATACCGAATTCAACGGCACCACTTACCGATTACGTTTTTTTTTTTGGCGGATCGGCAACACTGCAAATGTTCAGATCACTTTAAAAGGAATTGATATCCGAGAGGTGTTATAATATAGAAATAATAAGAAAATATAACAATGTCTGGAGATATATTTTCATAAATATTTATTTTTGATTCTGGCATAATATCTAGACGATGAATAATAGGTGGATGCGGATACTTTTACAAATATCGATGTTTCAGGACCCAGAAATGCAGAATGTGCTGTTTGTTTACATTTGGTGTGGATTTCTAGATCATAAATTGGTAAAAGTAGTTTTTGATTTAACAAAAGATGATGAATCAGTTGGAATACGTTTTATATCCTTTTTTTGCAAAATAACAAAAATCGGTACATTTCAGCAGGTACGTATTATGTACCTGACATACAGGCAAAACTAGATTGCCATGCATGAACAGTCGTCAAAAACAGTGAAAATATCCTACCAAAAATATAATAGCTAGAAAATCGACCTATTATTTCTCTCATTTTCATTGGTCCATTTAAATAACTGACCGGCTTTTCTGAAATCACTGATATTCAGAGAGCTTTGACAGCTATTGGTCCAACTGACCGTCAAATATTAATGTTGGTGGAATTGGCCCTGAGTGATGTATAAGAAAGAACGGTAATAACTAATTTATTATAAACATTTTCTAGGTATATGCTTGCTTAGGTTAGGATAAAAGAAGATCAGCTTTTCAGTAATGCCGATAAAGTAGTTTTTGTGATATGTGCTATTTTTTGTTATTACAAAAAGGCAAGTGAGCGATAGCTGATCTTTAATCTACAAATGCCATTTGATCAACTGTACAATACGTTGTGAAGACTGAGAATACGAGAAAATTTTTAATAGCTTGGGATGAGGTTCTGAGTGTACAAGACATCATGGAGGATCAACAGACTTGTTTATTTATTTATTACAATTTGGAGTGTCCACAGCCAAAGCCAACACATACCGTCTATGTTACAATACAATATGAGTAATGTGTACAAATAAATGTATGAGAGATACATCTGAGGAATGTATTGAATCTGAGATCTTTTTGATTGCCACATGAAAATTGATTGTTGTGAAGGTGTTTACTAGGATTATATACGTACAATATGGGCAAAATTTTTGAGTTAATATAGACACTAGCAAAATAACGGACAAAATCATTACATATGTATATCAGGTCCAGTTTTTGCTTCATAGTCAATCTCTCTTGACTTTATTAGGAATGGAAAAATGTTTTTTCTCTTGCTGGAATCATATCTCAAAAATTTTGTAGTGTCAACTGGAATCTCATTCTCGATGTTCATTGTATACTCATTAAAGACTGTTTTCATTCGCTCCTTAGTGTTGGTCCTTAACCTACAAAATTCGTGATATGTCATTATACCTTTTGCACCTTTTATGATATTCGAATTTCTCTTTAATTTTTTTATAGTTTTAATCTTAAAATAGATGGAAAATTTACCTCTTATTTTACGTATTGGCAAGAATCTATCAATTACTTCATATGACCTTTTGTAGAACAGACCAACGGCATCATCGACGGATCTGTGATCAAACAAAGTTTTCCAGTCTACACTTAATAAAAAATCATTAATACTATCATAGTCAGCTTGGTTGAAGTTACGGAAGCTGAAGTCGTGTTGCGAAAGCGGTTTGTAATGGTCACACTGATAATAATCAAACGAGATGGTGGCCGTCTTCATCCTCCTGACTGTCTTCTGCCCGACACACATTGGTGACTAAATCTTTGTTGCTAGATGTCAAGTCTAAGAGTTTATCATTGTTATTATGAATTCAGTTGAACTGCACCAGTTCCAACAAAGAAAGCATATCAATAAGGTTGCCTACTTTTTCGTCGACTTGGAGGGGCTCTAGGAGCTTATTGTTAAGTGAGCGGACCAGTTGACATTTGGCAGGTTGAAATCACCCACTCGTTGTGCTACTGAAATAATCCTTCATCCGTTACTCACGGAAGCTGCGTATGCGTATGCAGCTTTATTTGGCAAGTAAATACTACATACATATAACTTAACACCATTTCTTTGGTCAAGCACTATCGAGACCGAGTAGCTTTGCAACTGTCACAAATACTTTCTGTTAGTCAAGTTTTGGTGATACATGTTAGATACTGTGATAGAATTGATTTGTCTTAGACCTTACACCCCTGGTAGTCTGATAATAGACACTAACACTGGTCATTAATCGTGCTTGATAATTTATACATTTATTTTTCAGAGTTTCAGAGCATCGACATTCTTAACGATGAAGACTTTTGAGGTGTCATCCTTTCTCAGACAGATATCTGCATTTTTACTCCAAAAATATTTGAATCGTTTTTCCTTGGAAAATACACGGACATTTTTATATAACAGTCTATTTCCAATTTTCATAATTAACATTAATGAAACAAAATACCTTTGCTTTCAGACAATTTCTGTTCCTTCTTTATTCTTTGTCAAAATGCAATATGGCTACGAAAATATTATGACTGCAATACGCAAAGGGAACAACACGTAGATAACTGAAAGAATTGGATCCTATCATGTAAGATTCGTCTCCATTGTTACGCGCTTAAGATCCACCCCAGATTACCCAGTAAATCCCCTTTTTTAGACAAATCCGACACATAACAATAGCAGTCAAATCAGAGAAGGAATTAGACATTTTCGTTTTCGCCATGCAGCAGTTTTCTGCAAGTGAAAACAGTTAAAATAAGCCAGCATAGACTGCGATTTTGGCAATAGATGGCACCTTGTTCAGCCGACACAAAATTGATAGTTTTCTCGATGAGTGTCCAACTTCATGGCGACATAATGATTCTTTTAAACAACCTAAGAATAAGGTACAAACACCGAGAGCAGTTAACGATACGGCAGAGCGAGCAGTGAAGCAAGACCTTCATGGCTGAGGAACAAGAACTATTTTAATCACGTTGCATTCACAGGCAGGTATATGCTGACCGTAAAAGGAAAACATTTTGTTAAGAAAATTTGTTAAATAACTTTCTTTCAATAATAAATATCTAAGAAATATAAGATACTATACATATGATACAGTATTTTATTTGTATCTAATGACATTTGCATTAAGTTCAACGGAATCCTATCAATATGTCTAGTAATGCGGCACACCTATGGCGAACAAACGATCTAACTGTACACTTTGCATTCAAACATATTTGTGACTATGTATATGGAACCCTGCTACAGTAGATTCCAGAAATGTTAAAAATTCACGATAAACTGCAAAACAAACCCAGCAAAATCGCCTCAGCTACTTTATTATTGAGCCGAGGACGTTTCACACGGATTTCCTGCTTATACCTGCCGGTCTGTTTCCTGTTTAAGATACTCTGGGCGGCGCGTTGCGGATTCTGACACATGTACTGTTTCCGGAGCGGTGTGCTTCTGCTACGTCGTTTAGCTTCCGGTTACCGCATGCATCTTTTAGGAATCGAACACCGTGCACTAGATAGTGCGCTTCGACTTCTCAATAATACAAAGGACTTTCTTTCTTTGCCCTGCCAGGACGAACAGCTCGACTTACAGCTTTCAGTAAAATATAGATATCTGTTATGTATAGAATAGGATGGAATATAAATGTATGCTTATAAATATTGAAGTTCTATTATAGTGCAGACGACTTCTGGTATCGAAGATACGATACTCTTGGTTAAGTCAAGGTGTAGCTAAGAAGACTCTCTTAGTGTTAGAGGAGGGCAGGACCTTTTTTTTATACTCCAACTACCACGAAGGCCTAAGGCCTAAGCACCCACTGGGTACCGTGGGGCTATAGGGGGATACATGGGAAAGGGGGGGACGCTACACTGACTCTGGCGAGGGAACACGTGTGCATGCAACATGCGCACATTCTGGCTCTGCCTACGAGAACCGCCGGGTGGTATCTCCGCGTTCGACAGTTAGAGACCATCTACCATCTACGGACAATCACAACATCCATAGCCAAGAGAAAAATTTCTCCTGGGACGGGACTCGAACCCGCACAGCGCACGGCGACTGATCAGGAGACCGAAGAGTCTACTACTGCGGCCACCGCTGCTGCGTATACCTGTATAATATGTACATTTGGGAAGAGAAATGAGAATATCTGGTGGAACGAGAAACCAGCATTGGGATGAAGCCGTAGTTGGAAGGGAAATGAGTATAATGAGTGACAAAAAAATCTAAACACCTACATATGTTTATTAGAATTCAAGAATTTTTTACATATCGGTTTATATTGCCATGAACAACAAGTGATAAAATGTTCAGGTTTTTCTGGTGATAAAGAAGCATTCAGTTTCCTTACATTTACGGCGTCAGTTAAATATTGAATTTCGTGTAGCTTATTGAGAAGCCTTTTTGTGGTTGCTCAAATTGCCTAGATTTCGTAGAATTCGCCGGGTGTCCCAGCTAAGTGACTTTGAGAGGGATCGAATTGTCGGGTTGCGTGAAGCCGGTCTATCGACAAGAAAAGTTTCTAGGAGGATCAACAGATCCTGACACAGTAGACCGCTGTATGAACGAGCGTGGACTCAGGTAGGCCGAGGACAGCCAGCTAGGGGTTCTGAATGTCCCACAGGGACCACAGAGAGTCAAGACTGCCGGCTAAGACATTGTCTCTTCAGATTCAGTAGTACTCGAACCATCGCTAACCAGTAGTTTGAAGAGCATGGACGGATGGTTGGTATACGTATGGTATATCGCCGAATATAGCAGTTTGTCCGTTTTTCTTATCGCCCACATGGGGTGCTACCTTTCACAGCTGAAAGAATTCCAGGAGACCGGGAATGGGATCAGGTGGCCTTTAGCGACGATGGTCGGGCAAAAGTGAGAAGGCGACGTGGTGAAAGACGCGACTCATAATTTGACAGAGAGCGTCACGTTCACCACACCGTGGGAGTTATGGTATCGGGTGCTATCGCGTAAACTCTTGTCAAAGGCAATATGACAGCCTGACGCTATATTCAGGAAGTAGTGGAGCCTCATCTTATTCCATACCTAAACACCGTCCAAATTCCAAATTTCATCAAGACAATGCCAGAGCATCGTTAGCCGTCATGGATCAACATCGCATTAACCGTTTAACTTGGCCACCACGATCGCCCGACCTATCTCCAATTGAACATGTCTGGGACATGATAGGTTGCAGGCTCTGGAATTTGCAACACCCTCCGCAGACTTCAGCAGCTCTTACTCGCGAAGCTGCAGTAGCATGGAATGAGATACCCTAACAGGATATTGACCACCTTATCAGCACGACGTCCAGGCGTGTCAGTGAGTGTATAAGAAATCGTGGATCCTCAACACATTATTGAACCAGCTTCTGCAGTCAGCTGACGAATCAAGCTAAAAATTCAATCATTTTACTACTAAGGGACACTGAACATATATGGCAAAAAATACTAAATTCGGATAGACATTCGTAGGTGTTTACATTTTTTTGTCACTAAGTATATTTCAATACGCTGAACAATAATAATAAGTGATATCTCGTAGGAGGAGTCATTTTAGACGACAAAATGTTTATGCAGGTGAAAAGTGCGAATGTCTTACCTGTTTGGAGATACACGCTGAAGTAGATACATATTTTTAAATGTTTTTTTGTCCGACACCGCGATACCAGGGGTGCATTGGGACAGGTGTTTGGAGAAAATGAGTATGTACTGGATATGATTGTCGCATTCTGTTCGAGTATATTAGCTGAAAGTAGTCCACTCGGATTTTTTCAACGCGTTCTTGGTTAATTATTTTGTTCCTCCATCGTTTTCCGATATGCAAAATGTTTTCGACTTCATCACAAATTATTCTAAAGAGTAAGATTTTATTTAATTTTACAGAAAAAGCTTCATAAGGAAGTATGTCGAGGAAAGGTTATCATAATTCAGTCAAATACGATACATTTTAACGAAAGTGCCCCGCTACTTAAGATTCTATCTACTTGGCTGTGTCAGTTTAAAAAAGACAGTGAAACAAAATCTCTTCAAATATAGATAGCTAAATCCATACTGTCCATGCAACAAAGAGATTAATGGACCCGCTGACTGAATTGGGTGCGAGGGCTCAGGCTGCATGAATCTATTTAGTGGCATAAAGATTCATGTCGATGATCTGAGAGACTGGAAGTCGGTTCGCTACTATGTAGTAGCGGAAAAAAACAAACGAAATTAAATTAAAAAAGCCACCGTTGTGGCGGAAACATCAGTCAGCCTACAAATGTAGATTTCGTTTAGCCAAAAAAACATTGAAATCTATCTATATGAGAAATATAAGATTTTTGATGAAACATCAATGTAAGATATGTTCTAGCTTCCATGTAATGATAAGAAATAATCTGACTGTTGAGAACGAGAATCATTGGCAGGGCACATCTGTTCTCAGCGAATGACCTTCGTCTTAAACTGGACCTCACACACATAAAAAATATATAAATATTGTATCAAGAGAACTGGAACTTCCTTATTTGAAACATAAAACATGAAGATATCGCCATCGAGGACAAGTTCATTTAAATAAAGCGTTACACTGAAAGATAAGCAAGAAACAGATGAGTCAACTAGAGTTCCTTTACAAAAGAGATTTCGCTCCTACTTTACAATGTATTGCAGCAGATAACAGCTTTGTTTTCTGCGTATTCAACTGTATACAATTGAGCAGATAACTCTATGAGCTTAGTGGCAATCTCGCCACGTAGAAAGGAATTCATAGAAACCCATAATATCTGGATGTAAGTACCTGTATATAAGGGATATAGGACTGCTTTTACTGGCTTCTGTATAAAAATTCTGCTGCATTAAAACTGTGAAATTCTGCACCTTTATCACATAACGTATATCCTAAGAGTTTTGGCACAAAGTTCATTGGCTTTAATTTTAAAAAACACAAAATAATATCAAGTTGCCTATGAAAACAAAATTTTGTCTACTTAATCTACTGTCAGTTGAAATTTATTTATTTTAAAGTTTTCGCTTTAAGATTTCGTATAAATTAGAAATGAGAAAACGTATCTACAAGTTGTTTGGGGAAGGAAAGATATCACGCAGAACTATTTATCGAACAATAGCGGAGTATGAGCAAGGAATACCATGTCTGAATCTCCCAAAAAGTGGAAGACCACGTGCATTTACTGCACAGAGGTCGGGTAGATTGGTGAGAGGATAAAAAATCAGATTGGAATCTCAACAAAGGACTGGCTCGTCAATGCAGATCTTCTAAGAGTAGGATATCGTTGGAATTGAGGAAAAATGGTCTTAAATATCAAATGAGACTTAAGTGCCCCAAATACTCTCGAGCACAATTCCTTCTTCTACCAAGATGCTGTTGTCAACTGACGGGGATAAACTTTGCCAATGGAAAAATCATTACTTTAGATGAAGAAAATTAATTCACTTCGAGTAACTATTAAATGAATGAAAACGACGGATACGGACAACGTAGAGGAATGCCTTGACAATGTTAGATACAAACATAAAGCGAAATTTGCAGATAAAATCCTTTTCTGGTGCGCAATTTCTAACAGGGGTGTATCCCAACCTTTTGTGGGAAAAGTGAGGGGTGAAGCTTTGCATAGTCAGAGCCATATTGATCAGTACCTTTCCAAATTGCTTCAGTTTGTCCACTAATGCCATTACTTGAGAGATACCCAAAACTGGCTTCGATAACACAACATACCTTTTGTTTCCCGAAAACGATAATCCTCCAAGCTTGCCGTAGGCTCGCCCGATAGAGGATTTTTGAGCTTTACTGTCTAGGAAGGCTTATCATGGAGGCTGGGAAGCCCAAGATGAAGAACAATGAAGATGGCGAAAATGCGTAAATGAATTTCAACAGTAAAAGAAAATCGTATAAATGTTTTCTGTCAAAAACTTTAATCTAGAAGTCCATGTCACGAGATTTGTTGTAGTGTTTCATCAGAGATAACATCAATTAATCGACTTTCGAACATTTATTTGAGCATGTAATATAAGCGGGTTTATTTGCGTGTCTTACTCAGACATTGATGATTCGATGATTCTAGAGTATATATTCGCATATTGCAATATTTTCACCGGGATGTTTTTGAAAGTGAAGTAAATCTCCAAATATTGTACTGAATTGTGCTTAAAGACCCAAATCTGCTGGGCTGCTACGAAACCCATCCAGGTCTAGCTTGAAAAGCACAAATGATATTTAGGAATCGTCACGATTAATTTCGATCTGTTTTAATGGAATAAAATCCATGGAAACCAGATACAGTAGTGGGTATGAAAGCATTATTAAAAATTTGTTTTGATACTGCTCTGCGTACTTCTTAAATTCAAAATGGACCTGCATCAAAAAGTTCAAACAACAATGTCCTTGTTCAATAAAGAATTTTTCAAATCCAGCTCACCTGTCCTGTGTCCTTGTCAAATTTATAAAGCCTCAACCCAGGATTGTTGGGACCATCGTTGTTTCTCTTTGGTGTTATCGATGGTGCCAGAAGAGCCCATGAAATTGGCCGCCCTGAAAATAAAGAATTGCCTTATTATGTGATTCACAGAAATAATCGAACAACGTTCTCCCGAAAAAGTAAATATAGAAAAAACATTTAAAATACATCATTTATACTTGAACTGGAACTATTTTCATTCGAAGCAATTGGTTAAAAGAATTGAGGGATCATGTTTCAAATACATTAAATTTAAACACAGGTGTACCTCAAGTATCAGTACTTGTTTCAATCCTGTCTTCAGTATATATCAACGAGTAAATAAACATACAACAAAGGGTAGATAATGATTTCATAGTTTTTGGGCAAAAACAGAAACAAATAGAATTAAGACAAAAATTGACAGTAGTATGATAATATTAAAAAAAAAATGGTATGATAACTTCATATCTTTCAATGCGAATAATACAAAACTTATGATTTTTAAATGCGTCCATGATTCAATTAATTTAAATAATGAAATGATACATAAAACAGACAGCATTAGGTTTTAGGTCTAATCACAAATTAGGGTTCACCAATCATGGGTCACTCTAATACTTCCCATATTATAACAACAGTTACTTGCAACGTTGAGAGAAGCACATGATTAATCAAATACTTTGCTTATTGGAAAGTAGATTAAGATACAGCATTTCTTCTTGAGGTGACTGTTCACAAAATTGCTTGAAGAAGCCGCTTATACTACAAAAACGAATTATTATATCCATAACCAGGAGAAAACTATTAGTGTAATTTCATTGCTCACTTTGGAAACTTCAAAAACAAATCCCAATTTGAAACAAATGTAAGCTGTGATATAAGACGAAACCAGGATTTTAAACTAATGGTACCAGTATATACACTTGTGAGGGAAATAATAGTTTATAGTGGTCTGAAAATTTACATTTCTAGCTTGCTGCTATCAAAATTATTAGCAAAATAAAGATTTTCCGCCGGACCTGAAAATCATTTTGATAAATAAACCATATTATACGTTGGGTGTTCTTTAATTTGTATCGCAGTTCTGTCAATAAGAATCATGTTATTCTTCACATGACAATTCAAAACCCATACATGAGGGTGCTGATGATAGATTTGTTTATTTTATATTTTGATCGATCCTACGTGTGTGGTGATATATTTTGAGGATGCTTTCAGTCTTAGGTGATTGGAAATGTGTTATGGCAGATTTCGCACAACACATCTTTTTGAAAATGATCGGTGACAAAAATTGCTAATGCTATATCTCTACCGTAGCTAAGATTTCTGCTAGCGCCGTCATGATTACCAAACAACAATTATTTGTGCTAATTTTATATATAGTTTTAAAAAATGCCAAACAGCCACGCGGGTGTCCGGACATGACAATGTCTATAGTTCATTTTACTGTAGCAAGTAGTGGTCTACCTATGTCAATTGACTACTTAATCGCGGTCGTAACTTATAGTGCCAAAGCCCAAATAGATCTGTATCATGGATGGAAGTCAGTGAAATTGGAATATCAGTCAGCGTTAAATCAACGGTTCCCCGATTTCGGTCGTAACGATCTCCACTTTAGCGTTGAGCCCTCTCAATTACCTTAGAAGTGGCCCCATCAATTATTAAGCCTTCATTTGAAATTACCCTGCCCTTGGTTGAGACAATCGACGCAATTAGGATATCATTCAACTTCCACGCTAGATGGCGAGATATCATCCTAGTAACGAAAATATTCGTTTATTTTTGGATGCTTCACGACATGTGCATCACGAAAAGCTGTCACTCATCTCCGTCGGTTTGCATGTCGGCCCGATAATCCTTGACACCTTTATACCTCGGAAAGCACCGCACGGAATTTTGACAGAAAGTTTTGAAAATCAGACCAGTGGCGTCAGAGCTAAAAACAAAACGTAAACATCGCTCAAGCTTTTGTTTCACGCTGGAGACACCTCTGCTTATTTTCAAATAATATTTATGGGGTTGAAAACCACAGGCTGGAAGTTGTAAGTGCTGCTCAATAAAGTGAGAATAAAATCGTTTTTATTTTTTCTCACTGTATTTGAGATGGGATTTAAAGAACCTGGCATAATTAGAATTTTAATATGACGTTTCAACTTTCGTCTTCAGTCGACTTCAATATTCTTACGTTAGATAAAATGTAATTTTCAAAGCCAACTACGAAAATACTGGTTTTTTAGGAATATGTTTGGTTGAACAATATATAAATGTACGACATTCTAAATTTTTGGAGTCAGAATCAAAAACTTTATTCGCCTGTGTAAAAATCCAATACGGCGTCTATAAGAAGAAATAAAGTTGATGATTGAGGACAAGAGACAATACATAATATTCAAAAAATAAAAATGATTTTGTAAAAATTTTATTATGGAATTGAGAAACTTTCTAATTGTTGTTTTTTTCCTTGCAGTTTGTAGTTCAATTGTTTTTATTTTTCATACGTAACTTTTTTTCATATGATATTACTGAATTTCACAGATACTACACTTCATAATAACAACGTATGTTTGGATGAGTGAAAACATGAAGGATTGTGAAGGAATGTAATGTTGATTAATGATGACTGAGTTTCTATCCTTGCAGGCACAGGCCTCTCTTTATATAATAATAAGAATAATAGTCGTCTTTATTTAGAAACAGATTAACTGATTGGCGAAGTTTAGTTTCCGCTACTCTTATACTTAACCAATCAGTTAGCGACTGGTAATATATATTCTAAATAACTATATAATTGCCAAGTCCCTATTGGAAAACCCGATACCCCTTATAATTTCCGACAGAAACAAACAACTTTGTCCCCATTTAACAAACTTTATATCCCTTGCCGTTTCAGAGATCCCAATGGCGAGATGTAAAACACCCTGTATGTTCAGTATTTTTTATTATAGACTTGAAGCATATACTGGAATATACGAAAACGAATGAGTCTTACACAGAAATGCCCAATTTGGGTTTTCAAAGAACAATCAGGGAATAAAATAAAATGAAAAATGTTATCAAGTTCAACTTACATATGTTTTAAAATATACAACGTAAACATTTTATAGATGCAATCAACTTGCTAGCTCCACGCTAGTGCAAAAAGTCATTCCACCCTTGCTCGCTGTGACCTTCAACGATATCATCATCTATGGAGAAATAACTCAACGACCATGCCGCATGTCAGTCAGTCAGCATGCTTTGTTGGTTGTAGAATATAGAGATTGTCTGTAAGATATATCTCTGAGAAGATGTGTCAGAAAGAAAATTGGTTGAGTTGCAGAATGGGAAGATCGCATCTGGATGATTGTCTGGATTGTGTATATTGATCTGCATGTGTATAAAATCACTGATATTGCTAATGTGTGAAAATTGTTTCTGAATATGCTGCCTTTGAAGAAAATTTATTAGCTGCACCAGTCGGGTTTCTTTGTGTTGTCCTTTCTGAATTGAGGTTATGCCCAAAATTATAAATTACGATCTTCTCCAGTTTTTTGCGTTTTCAGAAACTTTAAGAAGCATTACGGGAAATTACATCCGCGTCCGCGTTGTGTGGAATTAAGCCACATCGCAGAAAATTAGGAATAACACATGACACACAGAACAGTGCCTCGATTATTATCACACAAATCCTCACTAAGCGCCTATCCATTGCCGTTTCCTTCCAGCTATAGTAAGCAACTTGAGCTGAGGCCGCCATTAATGCCGTCTCTGAAGCAGACGTTACACCACATCGGAGCCAAACCATGATAGCTCAAGCGCCATGACGTTTAGGCAACAAGTACGGTTTCACAAAGAGTGAACATTAAGTAAACAACATATAGTTCCAAGTTGACATCTACCTACTAAAAACCCATACAACGGAAATAACCAACGTAATGTCGCCTTTCAAGATACGTGATACCACTATGGTTGCGTTTGCTTCTCATTACTTTAATTCCAAAGCATCCTCATTGTAAGATAATCCAATCGGAATATCGCATATCCTTTCAGTGAGCAAACGTCACATCGTGACAAAGGCAACAGCCGCAGCGATCCTAATGATCCATAAACACAATTCCCCAATTAACTTAATTTCCCGCTTACCGCTCGTGAACGACCGACGCCCAGCGTTGAAGAGGAGTTGGGAAAAGTTCTGTCTGAATGGAAAGTTCCTTCAATGGACACCACACGTGCTCTCCTAACTCCGTATACATACATCACTCGCTTTGCTAATGACCCTGCTGGCGTACGTACGGTTCATCTGTTGAATAGGCGCTCGACGTACGGCTATGTTTTACATGACTTATCTTTTCTGATGTGCCGTTAGGTTAACCGAGCCTTATGGTACTTCAAATGATCTGGGGATGAATATATGTTTATGGGATTATACCAAAGCAACAAAAATGGACAGGAGTAAAACATCAGCACTTAGGCCTGATTTTACTAACAGATCAGAATGCTTGATCCGGATCATAATGGACCAGTGAGGAGCCATCACTCCAGTCATGGATTTAATAAATATAGTCGATTTTTTCCGACATATCTCTCAAACTAGGGAAAAATATACGATTTGTGTAAGAAGTGCCTTAATCCCCATATTGAGACAAGAAATTCTTTATAAATCACCTGGCTTAGATACAAAAATATATTTTTCCAGTTAATCCTGAGATCAAAACATATGATCTGGATCATCAATATCCAATTAGAAAGCGTTTTCGTAAAACTGCATCGAAAATTGGCCAATTGGACAGGAGCCTTCAAGCCCTGCTCGAATCTTTGATCAAATCTAATATTTATAATGCCCGTCATCAACTGCTGAGCGCTTCATTGAAAAGAATGGCATATTACTCACCTGAGCGATAATTTTAGAAAAAAAGGATGTATTTTTAAGAACGCATCAACGTGTCAGTTGTCGATTGAACTGTCATCTATTGTAATTTGTGGATTCATGAAAATCCTCTATGTGAGCGCTAAATTTATGCAATCATGTTTTTAATAAAAGAATTTCAGTATATACTCGTATATACCGCATGTACATACGTTCTTTGGGAAATGAAAGAACCCAGGTTAATCC